ACGTTATCCAAACGGCTGAGGAGAAAAATGTCTTTGATATCTTATGAACGGTGTCAACCTTGAGCCTTTAAATACCATCAACTAAAAAGGAAAGGCATCGATACCCGATACTCGCTTTCAATCCAGGATATGAGTCAAACGCAGTCATTCACTTGCAGCTTTCAACCATAGCCTTTCAACCGTTCGCCGCCGGCTATGAGCCCACGGGTCATAGGCGCGGGAGCCGGGGGGGGGGGGGGGCAGTGGGGGCAGCTTGCCCCCCCCCCCCAACTCTGGGGCCGTGGGGGCGGTGCCCCCACAGCTTTGAGACGGAATACCACACTTTTTTTGCAAATGCTTTCTTTTTTGCTGAAAAAGCCGAGGGGTGAAAAATAAGTGGCCTAAAACCGGTGAGAAAACTAGATTTGGGGGTACCCTAGGTTAATCTCTATTATGGTGTGCCCCCCCCCCCCCCCCCAGTCGGAAAGTAGTTCCCGCGCTCCTGCCACGGGTATCCAAAGTGCAGTCAACAGAAGCACCCGTTCTTATCCCGACGACAATAGATACTTTCGGAGTTCCGTCGGCCCCCTAAGTACCTCGCTATCTGCGCGTGCAATCGGAGCCACATTGCAATTCGAGAGTAACGCCATTTGTGGCCTCATTTCACTTTCCGCTTTTACGACTTCAGATAAGATACATTGCGCTGGCGGGCCAGAACTGAGCGATATCGTGGCCGATTGCGTCGAGACAGCTGCACGCCGCTGTCACTGCGTCAGTTCACACCGCGGGCGGCAGACCGGCGCGGCGTCTCGGATCTCTCCAGTCTAGTACAGGGGAACTCGGGACCCGCCGGGCCCAGGCGCCAAACGGAGAGAAGCGTAGTTCCGCCCCGCCGCGCCGGCCGCCCATCCGGGCTGAATTGCGTCACAGGCCAGGGGGAGTGACCTCCAAACGTCGCGCCGCCTCACGTGCGGCGGAGAACCGCGCCGTCAGTGTGTGCAGTGCGGCCCCGGTGTGAGTGCATGTCGGAACGGTGTGTGTGGAACGTGGAGTGCGTGCAGCGCCGCTAGTGTCGGAAGGAGAAGTGGTGAAACACAGTGGGTGAAGGGATCTGAGTGGGCACCTGCTGGCAAGCTGAAAAGACCGAGCGGAAACGGAAAGCTGCAGGTAATACTGACTGCCCATCGCTGTCCATTGTTACAAAGCTACTGCGATTCAATATTTCGACGACTGGGAAGACAATAGAAAAGTCCCATAAGTATCAGTTTCCCCACACATACTCTGAAAGATAGGTATCTGTCCCGCCTGCCGACAGGGCCTGCTCATCTTCATCTTCCACTGCGTCCTGCGGGAGAAGACGCGACAGATTCTGCTGGGCCGGTTCAGCACGGCCAAGCGCAGCACCATGATGAACAGCGTGTACGGCCAGATGGTGGTAAGTTCAGACAGCAGATGGTGGGAATTCAGTCCTCAGATGAAGACGAGTTCAGACACCAAATGGTGGTCAGTTGGGTTTTCAGCTGATGGGTTCAGAGTACAGAGGTAGCCAATTCAGATTGCTTCCCTTGAGCTACGAAACTACTGAACCGAGTATAATAATTCAAACGGTGCCTGAGTTCAATAACAAGGGTATGGAGCGAACTTTGGCGGCGGAATGATACGACGGTCACTAGGCCAAACGCCAACACACCTTGGATTGGCAAAGCTGGACTATTTGGTGGTCCGGGTCGTATCGCAGAGCTAAATATCTGAACTCCGAAGTCGAGCCAACGCAGACTGTCGATGACGTTTTCTGTCGTTTCAGATTGCCGAGAGAAAGAAGCAGGAGTACCGGCAGTCACGAATGTCACACGACACGTGCGTCACGACGCTTTCCAACTCGGCCTCACCGGCCAACAGCGAGTCGCCCGACTCGTCACCGGCCAGGTCAGTCAGGAGGAACCTCGAGTCACCCAGCAGTCGATAGTTTCTCACCTGACCACGGCCAGGTCAGTCAGGAGGAACCTCGAGTCATCCAGCAGTCGATAGTTTCTCACCTGACTACGGCCAGGTCAGTCAGGAGTAACCTCGAGTCATCCAGCACTCGATAGTTTCCTGCACCTGACCTAAATTTAACCGACCACGGCGAGGTCAGTTCGAAGCAATCTTTAGTCAGCCCAACAGTCAATAAATGGACAAAGTTAATTCTTCTACGAATTGGGTCTGGATCATCTCCAGTCACATCTCACGATTTGCTGTAGGAGTATTCGATATCGCTAAATTCCATACAGCATCCGCGAACTGCCTGGTAGCGAGATCTCTGTACCGCTATCTTTCTATGACGACCCATGACTTCCCTGTCGGCCCCGCCGCTGTCTCGATGCTGTCACGGTCAGTCTGACCGCTCCGCCGTGTCCACAGTGAGAGGAGCAGCTCGTCGTCGGGCTCGGGCAGCTGCAAGGTGTCGGCTCGGTCGGCCAGCAGGAAGGGTCTGCCGTCACTGACCAGGGGCTTCTCGAGCGACACACAGACCAGCTCCAGCAGTCTCCGCGGCAGGGTCAATCTGGGTCAGTATGAGTACGACAGATCCACTTTCAAACTTTCGTCTTCAATAAATACAGGAACCGAACTCCTGGTATCATTTATAAATTGCTCAATAATAATCGAAGTCCCAACAAAGCATATGATACCGTGAACTTGGAGCCCTAGCGGCAATCTCCGATTTCATGACCCGGAAAGCTGAAGCCAAAATGGAAAGGTCTGGCCAAATCTTGTCAATGATATGAGCCAACTGTTACAATCGCACCATATAAGAAGTAGGCACTTCACAAGGTTCAATGAGCCCGGAACCAAATACACTAGCAGCAGCTGCGTCAGTCCAAGACAGACCGCCCCCTGACCTCCCTCTCCGTCGCGCTGCCAGCGTTCCAGCCGGACGAGCCGTGGGCGCCGCTGCCGGACATCTCGGAGGAGACGGACGGTGCCGGGTCGCCGCGCCACGGGCCCGTCCCGGTGCCGGGCCGCGGCTCACAGGGCGCGCGCGCACACCACCCCGCACACCACGACGGCGTGGAGATCTACAGGTAAGGCTAAGAGGCCACGGATGGGGGGGGGGGACATGACTGGATGTGCCTCAGAGTTCTCTCGATCGATCTTCAAGGAGCACTTGAGGTACCGCAACGTGAATATCCACGAGTAGGACTGGATCAGAATAAAACACGGTGCGGATCTACATGCATAACTGGGGTCAGAAATAAGCATTGTAGGCTGTAGCCCTTACCGACATCTGAAATGCAGGCAGTGAAATCGTGAACCTCTCAGTATTCACGCCCTATTTCCCTTCGAGGTTGTGGAATTTCATGCCATCTGTGATAGATATACTAGAAGTAGAAGGACGGAAAGAGCACTTCCTTCGTGACCTCCCGCTCATTCATTTTACGTGACTCGTCTCCGTCTGACCGGCAGGAGTCACAGCGTGGCGGCTCTGCGGCACGGGAAGGCCCACTGAGCCGGTCACAGGTGGTGTCAGACCCGGCTCTGAGCTCCGACCGACCGTCCCGAGCATGTCGGAAAACATCAGCCAATACCAACCTCATTCTGAGCGGGCAGCTCTGTTCGCAGCGGAGAACCAACACCCACATCTGCAGCGGTGACCTGTTTGATAGCCGCCAAAATAGCTATTCTGGCGTCATCTACCGCCTTTACAGCTGTTCCAGTGGCATTGAGTGAGCACGAGCATGAGACACCGAGTTTTCAATCACCACCGAGCGTGAAAGACGAACCTAAGACCCGGTAACTGCTTCGGTTTGTGTACAGTCTATTGGTGCTTCCGCCTCGATAGACTACAGAGACGGAAAATAGGCACGATCGGGACCTGTAGCATCCGGAGGGGGCCGGTCTCTGAGCGCCCTGAGCCCGCGCTCCGAGGACCGATCTCCGAGTCGGGAGGGTCGGCTGAGGTGTGTTCCAGTGCCAGGAGCCGCCAGTTCTGGACACAGATGGACTGCCTCAGGGAGGCCCGAATGGGGTGTACCGGAACAGAGCACCGAAGTATTGCGACGGATGCCAGCCGCTGACAGAGAACCGTCGCGATACTGCTGCGCAACCGAGGAGACCGCAGTGAAACGGAGGGGACGAAGGAATATTGCTGAATGATGAGCCAGAAGGAAAGGCTTGCGAAGTTCAGCATTGTGTTAACTGGATGACTAGTCATCATGATACTATAACTAAGCAAATGATTGTATTGTTAAATGTGTCGTTTGTGCGAGCCTTCAACGTACCGTGTACGAGCCGCCTTGAGTATTTACAAACTTGAGTGTCCAGCTTTATGGCGAGTCAATGTGGCGCCACGGGATCTCAGCGTGCGAATAAGAACGTTGAAATATAAGATATCCGTATTACACAAGTGATTGACTAGAGCTTAAAGTATTGTTCGTAGATAAACAACGCCTCTAATTGAGGCAGGTCAGCTCGTGTTCGAAAAAAATAATAGGGATGTCGAATGATCAAATTTCCATCCACCCCCAAGTAGAGTTGAACACAGACGATCCGCCGCGTCCGATGACGTGAGTCATGACACTCGTCCGTAGTTCCGGACAGCTTACATGGAACAACGCCCAACCCACCCGATGGCAGCTGTACCATCTACTGCCAAATCAGTGTTTTTGTTACATACTGCCTCGACATTTCGGGGCGTGCCGGCTGATGTTGAGATGACCTGTGAATGCGATAGATTACACTCTATTCTCTGTTATCACCTAAGGTTAAGAATCGGAATACATCACCCAATGAATCAAATGTGGTGACGTAAGGACGGAGCTATGTCTAGCTGACGCGGTATGTAGCGTTTGAAGTTGTCACAATCCTGGATCAGCGCCGATAAATGTAAGACAAATCAACAGTCAATAGCCACATTGGCCTTATGGTCTCCCTCCGAAGAAAATCATTCCACAAAGAAACTTCTTAATACGACGGTAATGGATTTTGATAAGGTCAATATCTCGGTCTGTACCGCCTATTTACCCACATCGACACAAAAGGAATCAAACGATATTACTTTATTTTCAGTTAGGTAAATAAGCATTCGGCGTGCAGTTGGCATATCGTGTGAAACGCGCCGAACACCTAAACACTCGTTCCTACGTTCGAGGTCCTATGAAAGCGTATTGGTTGTAAGGCTAATGCCAAGAAGAAATGATCAGCGCCAGAATTTTGCGGACAAGACCACGAGTCACCAAATATGGAAAGTCAGAGCGCGACCTATGCATCAAAATATGAAGTACCATAAACACGACCACTACAACCAAGAAACCCAGACATTGAGGACAAACACCACGGAGTCCTCAACTGTGCACGTGTTTTATCAACGAGCTATAAACACAACCAACTACTTCTCTACACGGGCATCTCAAACACGACCTAGCGCGGACTCGTTCACGGCACCATCTATATAGCCAATCACGCATCGCATCACACGATTCAGCAGACCTGTCACGGCCGGACACCCACCGGCTCTCCGGGCTCCTCGGAGCCGACAGGTGCGGCTCACCGGCCCGGGAATATCCCTCCCCCAGTGGGACCCCGTGGACGGCTGTCCCCACTCCCCGGCGTCCCGAAGTCGCGCCCCCGAGGTAAGTACGCCCACACGCGCCGGACCTAGCAGTAGAGGAAGTTGGCCGCCATCAGCAACTCCAGCGCTACCTTGGGGTCGATCTGGAAGTCGGGGATCTCTGTGGAGCTGTTGGTGTAACGTACCTTGTACGTGAAGTACATGCAGACCATCTGAAGCACGTGCGACCTGAAAATGTTGCTCTGTATCAGCAGGAGTACCTACCGGTTGCACGGCAATAAAACCTACGGAGGCAGTGATGTGGAATGTGGAATAATACCACGAAATTACACTTGGATGATTTTTGAAACACCTCTACACATTTTAATACCTTGATCAAACATAGTAAAACAATAGTAATACAAATCGTTAAACACAGTAAAACAGGTGGAAGTTGTAAGGCTTTCAAAACCCACTCTGTGTACAAAGCTGGGCACTTCGCGTAATACACTTGCGTTGTACAGCGGTGTGGAAAATTGATATCAAACTTTGACCAGAATTTCGTCGAAAGATTTGTCGAAACTTCATAACCAATACACATTACACGTTGACACTTACGGGATCTCCTTGAAGGTGACCTCGTTGGTTTCGTTCTCTTTGAACTGCCCGGGTCCACTGAGCATGTTCCTGATAGTGCCCGAGGTGAGCGCGTGCTCGCGCTTCACGATGAACTCGTGATTGTCGGAGGAGCGCAGTTTGACGTAGGTGGCGTCCGGGCCCTCGCAGCCGCCGTACTGCGGGTCCTCGTCCTGGCAGACAGCGGCGCAGCTCAGGGAGGTGGAACACAATATATAGAAAGCACATGCTGTTTGGAAACCGATGGAACAATGACTGTTCATTATTTTGCTAGGCTATTTGGCCCCCATGGTTAGAAAATGCCAGCTGGCCAATCAACTGAAAAGGCCACACCAAACCCAAGAGGATTGAGTCAAGTAACATCTATTTGTACTGAAATTCAACCATTTTTAATTTAGCAGTGAAAAAAGTGCTGTAAAATGTAAAACGTTAGTAATCAGCAAAACGTTAAAACTCACCATTTTCTCAGCTCCCTCACTCATGATTATTCCTTTGTGTCGCCTAAAAAAGACAAGTTTGTTTCAAAATAATGCAAGGGCTACCATTATGACCTCAATAGGCGCATTAAATTAAATTGAGTGGGCATGTTCCATAAAACATAAAAATTGCCCTCTCCGATATTATGAGTCAGTATGTCAGGTATGTCAATGTAAAATTATGCGCTGAATAGCATATAGTATAACACTTGTCACCAATTGAATGCAGCAGCATATTGCCAACTGGGCCCAGCAAGGCAACATAGGTTTACTGAGGTTACAGATTAATATGATCACAAAATGCAATGCAAGGTAGGTTTATTCACATTGCTTTGCTGTAGGCTAACTCATCTTTTTTTAAGTCAAGCTAATTAGGATTGATCTCTCTAGAAGGTAAGCTGTTTGACGTTTCTAGACTCCTACTGTTGACACTACCATAACCATCTTCCCGCATATCTCTGAATTCCTTCCCAGTTTACACTTATCAATATGCTCAGACTGCTTGACAATGCAACTTGTAAAAATGATCATCAAATGATCAAAGTATGCACAGAATATAATGCATTGCATTATGCAGGTGCATGCAGCAAAGACCTACAATCTACATTCGTTTTCTAAATCACCATCTCTTACACTTGCTAGATTATTATGAAATTAGGTATAATTGGTCATTGCATCAGTATCATAAAGTGCAACTTGTTGAAATGCTGTTGCCTTCTCCATTGCAGCATGTAGGCACATTGTAAAACCTTTTTTGACCTGAGATCTGTTGTACAAACATAAAAAATTAACAGCTCCTAGTATTTAAAATATTCCAAAAGTATAACCAAAGTCATCAATGCTATGAATAACTAGGTTCTATTTAATAATGCAAAATATATGAGTTGGGCTGTTTGATAATGGGTTTAACATCAGTGGTTATTTACTTTATTTTTTGTCGCAGCTGCAGGACTAATCTCACAGTCACTGAAGGCAAAAAAACCTGCATGTGCATTTTCTCTGCTAGTTAAACTGGCCTGATAATTGTAGGTAGCATGTTTGGTAGTCACTCAGGTCAGTGCTCATGAACTTAATTTTCCTTCAGCCACCTGCTGATTGGGGAAAGGGTTATTTGGTGCAATGCCCAAAATTGACAATATCAATTTTTTTGCAAAAACATGAGAACTAAACAATTTATATTAATAAAAGTTTGTTTTCAATTGCTCAGTAGTGCATAAGGAATCAAAGCTGATGAGCTTTTACAATCATGAGGAACTATTTTGGGGTATGGGATTGGGGAAGTTCTCCAATCCCCAGTGTCCAAGACTCCTGTCTGCTAGTGCCTTCAGGCACTTTGATGATGTCTTATGAATACCTATAAAGTGTGACTGCCGACTGGAGAGACTTAAAGACCCAAAGAAGTTTTATAATGCTGACAACATCTACAAATTTTGGGTTTCTTCTTTGGGTAGTCTTAAAGCAGGCTCCACACTTGTTTTTGCAACTAAGGAGAGGAGCTATAGTTATACCCAGAGATGCTTCTTTCTAACCAAACCAAACCAACCAAACCAAAACTAACCTAACCTAATGTAACCTGACCTAACCTAACATACAACCTACAAACTATAACATACAACAACCTAGAACCTACAACTTAACAGTTAACACCCACTACCTGCAACCTACAAACTTACCTAAAAGTTACAATAGTACTAAAACAGGCATCAAACTTGTTTTTTGCAACCAAAGAAAGGCACTGTAGGTTAGGTTGTAGGTTAAAGGTTTAAGGTTTTAGGTTTTGGGGGGCAGCTTTTAGGTTGTAGGTTTTAGGTTGTAGGTTGTAGGTTTTAGGTTTTAGGTTGTAGGTTGTAGGTTTTAGGTCATAGGTAATGTAAGGTCAGGTTTGGTTAGGTTTGGTTTGCTTTGATTGGAAAGCATCTCTGGGTATGGCTACTCACCTCAGTTGCAAAAAAACAACCGAGATGCTTGCTTTGTGACTAGGTACCCAAGTTACAACCTAAATTGACATCTCTGGTGACCAGACCAGAGGCCAGTTTTACTGACAGAAAAATAGCTGCCTGCCGGGTTTTTTGCCTAAAGACTGCTTCATATATGTAAACGGTAAAGCCCTATCCGTCCGATACTATGCCCAGTGCCTTTACGCTCCATATTGGTAGGTATGTGAAGCGGCCTCTAGACAAAGAATTCCAGCAGGTCACTATTTTTGTTGGTAAAACTGGCCTATGGTGCGCCTCTTCTTGGTTAATTTGTAGCCTTAATTTGTTATTGAGCAGCAGACAAACCAAGTTAGCAGCAAGTTAGCAGTATGATAGTAGCAGCAATGCATTTGTCATGATCTCTTCTTTGTCTGAGCTCTATCTACTTCTTGAACATACAAATAATATTTATACACCAAGGAATTTATAAATAACAATGAAGGCAAAATATTGCAATTATGTATGCCGAATGAGTGGTCACACCACACAAATAAAAATAAACCCTTCCAACGAGAACTCTCACAATTGTCGTCAACACGGCACGCAACGCTTCACAGAAATCACAAGAGCGTTGCTTTTGCCGCGTTCAACATTGACATTGACTAAAATCAAGACGATGGGTAATGAGAGAGGCATCTTAGATATTGCGTTTTAAATTGCGTCATAGGAAGGACAAATTGATCTTTTTGCTGAGATTAGAAATAGTCATACCATGGATGAAAGAACCATGGATAAAAGGTTCTCCTTCATCCATGATCATACTATATCCGTCGAGAATCGAGATCCATCATTTTCGTCACGGACATGGGCTGAAGAATGAATAATTTACTTTTGCCTTGCTATCACCAGTAAAACGCCTTTTGGGCGAAGAACGAGCGAGCGAGATAGTGAGCCCTCAGCACGTGCGGAAGGGCGAGAGGGTACTTCCAACGGGCTTGCGCAAAGCACCCTTCTAACAGGTCGCTAGCGGTGTACCAAATTTGAACGCAATCGGCCCAGCCATTCCTGAGATCTGGAAGCGGCATTCTGCACGTGCGCACGTGCAAACGGGGTCCAAACTGACTTTTGCACGGCACCCTACTAACCGGTCTCCAACCGTGTACCAAATTTGAGCGCAATCGGCCCAGCCGTTCTCGAGATCTGGAAACGCCCCCTGCACGTGCGCACGTGCAGTAGCACCTTAACCTCAACACATGAGAATGCATTGCCTGGTGGGTGCCTACCTGTATGCCAAGTTTCAGCGAAATCGCCCCAGTAATTACAGAGTTATTAGAATGGGAACAAATTTGACACCTCTTATTGCAGGGCCTCCTCTAACATACCCACTGGGTGGGCAAATGCCCACCCAGTCACCACAATTGCCCACCCAGTGGCGTCGATTTGCCCGCCCAGAAGCAAATGCAAAAGTAAAGGTCCGGCCAGACGTCCGGTAGGTACTACCACTTCGGTTTCCCGGAAAAAAAACTTGCTAGCAGCCAGTGCCCCAGCCCCCAATCACTGCAGTGCAAGCTATTTTTTTACAATGGATGCATCTGAATGCAGGGGCGGTAGCAGACTTGGCGTTTGGGGGTGGGGGCAACTTGGCAACTTTGCCAACCCCCGGAGGGGGGGGGGGCGGTGCTAGCTTACAGGGGCCCCTTGCCACAGCGGCCTCAAAGGCCCGTATGGAACCCCAGAGGCCGATGTGGGCTCTCAGAGGCCAGTGCGTGACGCCTAAAGGTGTAAGTACTAAGTACCCAGCCAGAGAACAAAATAGGGCCATCAGTGGCCGGTTTAGAGACCTTATCCCTCGCCTTCACAGGCCATTTTGCGTCCTTCGACGGCACAAGGGGGGGGGGGTTGTTACGACCCCCCCCCCTCGCGTTTGGCCCCTGATCGAGCTAGAGCTTCGCGGAAAAAAAAAACGAGCGTGTTGCCCGTCACGAGAGGAAGCCGATGATACCCAATTTTAAGTTCCTAGGTCATCGGGTGACCTTCCAGGTCAGGTCAATGACCCGAAAACCGGGAAAATCGGGACCTGTTAGAAAGTCGTAAAGTGTGGCTGCTATGTGGTTTTCCGGGGTGCTGATCACGAATATCGTGTTAATTTTGATCAGGGATGATGTCTTTAAGCATTTATACCAAGTCGGGTCAGGTCAGGTCAGGTCAACCGGTAGGGGTTGTGACGGGTATTCGTAATACGTGTCAACCGCCTCTGACGGCTTCGTAACATGTTACGAAGGCACCAAAACTACTTCGTAAATGTTCCAATGGTTGCTAAATTCGAATTCAGCTCCAAAAACTAGCCTAGAAACATGTAAAACTCGAAAAAGTGAACCGAGGTCACCCGAGGTCACCAAAGGTAAATGACCTGACCTGACCTTCAGGTGACCTTGACACCCACCCTAATGTATGGGAGCAACATCAAATCACATGTTTGAACGTTTGAAACCACGAAAAGCTTGCAAACGCGCGGCTAATGCGAGCCGACATACGCCGAGTCGCGATTCCGGCCAAACATGGTCTCGGAAAAGAGGTCACAGGTCAAAGGTCATTTGGGTCAGGGTCATGAAATTTTCAGGGTAGGTGTAAAATTGATTAATGCGAGGGAACTAAAAGTTTCGTCGCGATTAGCCGCTTTTTACGCGAGTTATTCGCGAAAAACCTTAGGGGGTTGCATCAACCCCCCCCCCCCCCTGTGCCGGCGAGGGTTATAGGCTGATTGGGGACTAAATAGTGCCTCAATTTGGAGCCCTCAGAGGCTAATGTGGGGCCTCCGATGCCAGTGTGAGGCCCTTATAAGACTGACATGGGTCCTCAGAGACCGGCATCGATCCTTCAGAAGCCAGTACGGGGCCCTCAGAGGCACATAAGGGCCAGTCTTGGGTCTCAGAGGCAGAAAATGGGCCATCAGAAACCGGTGTGGGACCTTTGCAGGTCGGTTTGTGCCCTCAGAGGCCAGTTTAAGGCCCTCAGAGACCAGAACAAGGCCTGAAAATGGCAGTTTGAGGCCATCAGAGGTCGACTTAGCCTCTCAAAGTCCTTACATGCGGGTCCTTACAGGCAAGGATGGGACCCTCAGGGGTCAGTGTGGCACCCTAAAAGACAGGCTTGGGCTGGTGTTGGACCCCAGAGTCCAGAAAAGGCCAAGTTGAGCCCTCAGAGCCGATGCAGGTCCTTAACCCTCGCCTGTATAGGGGGGGGGAGTCGAACGGACCCCCTCGATTTTTTGCGAATAACTCGCGTAAAAAGTGGCCGATCGCGACGAAACATTCAGTACCCTCACGTTGATCAATTATACACCTACCTTGCAAATTTCATGACCCTGACCTTAATGACCTTTGACCTACTTTTTGAGAGCATGTTTGGCCGGAATCGCGATTCGGCGTGTCGGCTCGCACTAGCCGCGCGTATACAGTCTTTTCGTGGTTTCAAACGTTCAAACATGGGATATGATGTTGCTCCCATGCATTAGGGTGGGTGTCAAGGTCACTTGAATTTTAGGTCAGGTCATTAACCTTTGATGACCTCGGTTCACTTGAGTTTTACATGTTTTTTTTTTTGCTAGTTTTTTTAGCTGAATTCGAATTTAGCAACCATTTGAACATTTACGAAGTAGTTTTGGTGCCTTCGCAACATGTTACGAAGCTGTCAGAGGCGGTTGCCACCTACTACGAATACCCGGCAAAACCCTTACTGGTTGACCTGACCCGACCTGATCTAAATGCATGAAGACATCATCCATGATCATAACTAACATGATATTCGTGATCAGCACCCCGAAAAACCATAGCCACCCTTTACGACGTTCTAACAGCCAACGTCCCGATTTTCCCGACTTTTGGGTCCATGACCTGACCTGGAAGGTCAGCCGATGACCTAGGACCTTAAAATTGGGTATCATCGGCTTCCTCTCGTCACGGGCAACACGCTTTTTTTTCCGCGAAGCTCTAGCTCGATCAGGGGCGAAACGGCAAGGGGGTCCAACGCCCCCCCCCCCCCCTATCGCGGCTGGAAAAACACCAATACAGGGGGTGGTTAAAGGCCGGCATCGGGTCTTCAGAATCCAGTGCAGGGCCCTCAGAGGCTAATATGGGCCTTTACAGGCCAGCATGGGGCCTCAGAGGTCAGTGTGGGACCCTAAAAGACCGGCATGGGCCAGCAGGGTAGCGCGCTACAAGGCCAAGGATGTATTACAAGTGGATTAAGGTCAATATAAAGCCGTATTTAGATCAAGAGAACGCGTCAAGAGTAAGCTGACCATGCCTCCTAAAAAGAGGCAGCGAGCATTACCTACCTATTCAATTTCTGGTTCAAGGAGCAATCATAATAAGTTTAACTCTGCACATTTGCAGTCTTCTTAAAATTTTAAATGTATGTAGACTAGAGATGTCAATCGGATACCAACTTTTTGGTATAGTTACCGATACCAAACCGATACCAACTTGGTATTTGGTATTTTGATCCTAATGTTGTTGGTATTTTGTTGGTATTACGAAACCGGCTAATGTATAAGAGGATACGAATTCGGTAAAAAGTTGGTATTTCCCTCATGTTCCCAAGTTGGTTTGGTTTCGGTATTTTTTCATGGTTTTGGTTGGCATTTGGTTTGGTATCGGTATCCTGGTTTTCCGTTATTGACATCACTAATGTAGACAATAGGCATATAAGGTGAAATACACACGAAATACCATATAACACACGACAAACGTTAAACTATAATCTTGTTTCCAATAATGGCACAGTTGATTGACTGTGAAAGTGACATAGGCCTTACCCCGCCCTCCCCCCCCCCCCCCCAGTCGCAGGTGAAAATGGTTGAACCCCAAAACAAGTGACTGGATCTGCCCTTGGGCTGGGGAGCGGCGAAAAATTTTGCCCACCCAGTGAAAAATCCTTAGAGGAGGCCCTGTCTTATTGTTGTATTTTGCACGTGCACTGGGGGTAACCCACATGCATCGAGAGTATCCTATTTTTGGTAGTAAGGATGCAGCTACCCTATAAAAATTACCGCAAGTCAATCGCCCAAGCGGATGCTGAGATATGAGCCTCTCAAAATCACTACTTTGGAAAACAGCTTGAACACGCTTGACTTTTCACGTGGCACGTGCCACGACGGCCACTGAGATGTATCAAAAGTAGTCAATTACGGGGTAGAAGGGATGGGGCTACCCAGCAAAAAAGACCGCAGGCCAATCGGTCCAGCGGTTGCTGAGATATAAGCGTCTCAAAAGCGTTACAGGCCGGGCCGTGTCGGGCCGGGCCGGGCCGCTCATACTGAGATTTTTCCGTTATATTGAAAAGACTCGCTTCGCTCGCTGCGCTCGCTCGCTCGTAATTACTACAGAGCTAATCATGGAAGACTGAGAGAGTGTTTCGGGCTCTCTCTCTCTCTCTCTCTCTCTCGCTCTCTCTCTCTCTCTCTCTCTCTCGCTCTCTCTCTCTCGCTCTCTCTCTCTCTCTCTCTCGCTCTCTCTCTCTCTCTCTCTCTCTCTCTCTCTCTCTCTCTCTCTCTCTCTCTCTCTCTCTCTCTCTCTCTCTCTCTCTC